TGAAAAAGTTAAGAACCACAAGGAATCTTAACTTTTTCACAATTGCTAAATGCGTTGGAAACGGCTTTTTAATTGATTTTTACCTTTTTTAATTAAATATTTTATTAATGACCTGAGTCATTACCAAAAAACCAAAAGTATTAAAAAAAAGTATTTAATTTCAAACAAAAAAAAATTCTCTTCTTTTGAAAAAATGAGCAGAAAAGCTATTACCTATGAAGATCGTGTAAAAGTAATGCATTATCACCAGGAAGGTAAAACCGCTCGTGAAATTGGAAGAATAATAAAACGATCACATAGTGCGGTGCTAACAATCATTAATTTATTTAGAGAGACGAAATCTTACTTTGATCGCCATCGCTCTGGAAGACCGCGTTTGACGACACCCAATGATGATCGTCTTTTAATCAGGTTGGCAAAGAAAAATCGAACTATGTTGTTGCATAAATTAAGAAGGGAATGGAAGCTTTGAAATGGATGTCAAGCATCGGCATCACTTGTGCGTTGGAAACTAATAGCTAACAATATGCTATGGAAAAAAGCTGTTCTAAAACCGAGACTTAACAAACAACATATAAAAAAGCGAAAAGAATTTTCCCAAAGTGTCAAAGAATGGTCTAAAGAAAAATGGAGGACAGTAATTTTCAGTAATGAGATGAATATCGAGGTTGATAACCGAAAAAATCGAATTATGATTTGCAGGCAGCCTTCCGAAAAATATAATCTTGATTGTATCGTTCAAAGAACAAATTAAGGTAGCGAGTCGGTCGGAATATGGTGCTGCATGACATTTTATGGTCTTGGTATGTTTAAATTATTTGATGGTCGACTCAACTCTATTTATTATGTTGATATTTTAAATAATTATTATTATTATTATAGTTGTAGCCGTAAATTTACATAGAATGTACACATACAGCGAGCAGGGGAAACACCCCACTATAAACAACCAGTTTTATAAATATTTGTTCCAAACTTTTTCCACAACCAGGAGTCTAGTTTATTTTTGAAAGAAAGTACAGTGGAGTACAAAGTTATTTGCTCTGGTAGATTGTTCCAGTATTTTGCTGATCTATTATACAAATGATTATATTTTGGAAGACAGTTTAGAACATACTCACGCCTTATTTTAGAATGGTGACCACGAGACACGGAGTTAATATATTTTTGTAGATATTTATCATTAACTATATCAAAACGATGTATTAATTTAAAAATTTGGATTAAATCGCATCGAAGGCGTCGAAGCTTAAGATATGGTAGGTTTAATCTTTTTAGCCTTTCGCAGTATTGAAGATGCCTCAAGCTGTAAGCCCATTTTGTAGCTTTGCGTTGAACAGATTCAACCAAAGCCATATCAGCTTTTAAAAAAGGAGCCCAAATGGACACTCCATATTCAAGATGTGGTCTTATAAATACTTTATATAATTTGAGAGCCATTTTTTCATCAATGAAAGTGAATGTCTTTTTCAGCATACCGAGAATTTGTAGGGACTTAGAGACAACTGTTTGAATATGAGCGCTCCACTTGAGGTTAGATGTAAAAATGACTCCTAAATCACGTTCTTTAGTAGAGCTTCTTAGAGATTGGTTGATTCCTTGGTTATTTTGAAGAAAGTAATTGTAATGGGGATTGTTTCGACCGTAATGAATGACGCAGCATTTTGAAGTGTTTAGCTTAAGTAACCAAGTGTTTGACCACTCGTATACCAAGCGTAGACGATCCTGCAGATCAACAAAATTAGATTGCGATAAGGTTTTAGAAAAAAGTTTAGTATCATCGGCAAATATCTCAGAAGTTTCAGTGAGTTTTGCGAGATCATTTGTGTAGAGAATGAAGAGGAGCGGGCCGAGAACAGAACCTTGAGGAACACCACTGAGAACATCAACCCATGCAGAGCTGGTATTGTTAATTGTAACGCGTTGCTTTCTGCCCACTAAAAAAGATTTAATCCATTGTAGGAGTTTGCCGTTTATTCCGAAAGATCTTAATTTTAACAAAAGTCTGTTGTGAGGTACAGAGTCAAACGCTTTGGCAAAGTCAAGATAGATTACATCAATAAATTGGTGAGATGCTATGGAGGACGAAATGATATCAAAAGTTTCTATTAGGTTAGTTACGCATGATTTATGATAAAGGAAGCCATGTTGATTTGCAGAGAGCATTTTATTATCGTTAATGTGCTTTAAAATTTTTTTCTTTACAAGTTTTTCAAAGATTTTACAGGCAACAGATGTTAGTGAAATAGGTCTATAGTTTTCAGCAAGTAATTTATCTCCCTTTTTTTTATAGATCGGACTAATATTTGCTAATTTCCATTGAGTGGGTACTACTCCAGAATTAAAGGATTTATGAAAGATTTTTGTTAATGGAATTGCAAAGCTTTTGGCACATATCTTGAGTATTAAGGGATGCAAGCCGTCAGGTCCGAAGGATTTATAAGGCTTTAGATCGGCAAGTTCCTGAATAATATCTGAGATAGAGAAATCCAAGTTTTCATTATAAATGCATTCAGAAAGAATACCACTTTTATTTAGCAAAGGAAAATTTTCAGAGCTTTCAAGTGTAAACATAGATTTAAATTGAGAGTTCAGAAGATCAACTATATCAGGAAGAGCTTCAATAATTCTGCCTGAAGTATCTTTGAGAGAGCGAATTCTATCTTTAATTTTTAGTTGTTTGTTGATATATTTGTAAACGATTTTTGGGTTGTTTTGGGATTTTGATATTATTTCTTTTTCATGTGCTTTTTTTGCTTTAAATATTTCAGTTTTTACTGAACGATTAAGGCGATTGTATTTTATTTTAAGCTCACTATTCTCCCATTTGGTAGAGCAGTTTATATGCCAAGCGGATTTTTTTTCTCGGATCAGGTTTTTAATATGTGGGGTAACCCAAGGATCATACTTTTTTTTTGTTTTATTAATCTTGGGAATAAAATATGTGCAAGCAGTGCGATAGTTAGAAATTAGTATATTGAACATTTGATCTGCAGTTTTATGCAGGAATAAAAACTCCCAGTCGATTGATGCAATAAAGTTAGATATTGAATCGTAATCACCTTTTTTGTAATTAAACGATTGAGATACACTTTCGGTAAACAGTTCTGAAACTAAGAATCTCCAAGTGATACTAAAATGACCCTTAGTGGTGTTACCTAGTATAGTACTAGGAGACAAGTTTAAAATAGAATTACTGTTGTAGGTAAATAACAAGTCCAACATATTATTTGAGGAACCATAATCAGTCTGGAAAGTAGGAAATGTGATATGTTGAGTAAAAAGGCTGTTTTGGAAAATATTCCAGAAATCATACTCGGTAGGATTGTTTGGGTTAAAAGATTCAATACCATCGTTAGACCACTTTATATTCGGGAAGTTAAAGTCACCGACAATCAAACAGTCATCATAGGGCTTTTTAATTAAACTATGAGCTAATTTGAAGGATTCAGCGACATATTTTATTAAACTGGCATCATTTGGTCTGTATATACAACCGATAAGTATATGTTTGTTGTTAAATTTTACAGATACCCAGACTTGTTCGAGAAGATTTGTATAAATTGATGCACTTTGTATCAATTGATGCACTTGAGCAAAGCGTTCCGTTCATTTTTCAGGAAGATAATGCACCATGCCACCGGGCTAAAATTGTCTCTGAATGGTTCGAAAACAAAAATATTTAGCGTCTAACTTGGCCACCAAATAGTCCAGATCTAAATTGTATTGAAAATCTTTGGAGTTGGCTTGATAAACAGATTGCCAAGAAAGCACCAAGGAGCCTTGAAGAGTTGCGCAATATTTTACCAACAATACTTAGAAATATTCCCAAACATATTTTAGAGAATTTAATAGACTTAATGCCAAATCGTTAAAATGAGTACTTAAAAATTCATGGTAGAATAACGCGGTATTAGGTAAAAATTACCGTTTTTTGTTCTATGGTTCTTAACTTTTTCACAATTAAAAATTACCTACAAAACTTTAAATACATTTTTTTTAATTGTTCAAAAGTCTAACTGTTATTATTATTTTTTATTTTGTTTGTCTATTTCCTAAAAATTATTATTATTATTATTTTACCAGAAAATTATATTCGACTAAATAAAAATTTAAAAAAATAAATAAATTATGATTTGTTTTTTTGGTGGTTCTTAACTTTTTCACAATACTGTATATATATATATATATATATATATATATATATATATATATATATATATATATATATATATATATATATATATATATATATAGTTTCAGCGCCTGCAATTCGTTCTAATCAAAATCTTTAAATTGATACATCGCGTTGATATTTTTAATAATATACTTACCAAAATTTATTAACTTCTTACGTATGTTCCAAACTGCCTTCTCAGACACATCAGTTTTAAAATAGATCAGAAAATACGTGGAACAAATTACGTGAGCAAGTAACTTTCTACTCCGCAGTATCATTTTTCAAAAATAGACTAGACTCGTGGCTGTAGAAAAAGTTAAGAACAAGTATTTGTAAAACTGATTATTTATAGTGGGGTCTCTTCTCTGCTCTCTGTATGTATACAAAATAGCAACTCAACAAAAACATGACTCGAATTTTAACAACTGATTCGAATTTCAACAACTGATTGAAAACTAAAATCTTTACTTTTTCATGATTATTTTAAGCATACTTTTACATTTTTTTTTTGCTGATATAAAATATTTTATAATATGGATACCATGTAGAAACTCAAAATCGTAATTTGAACTGAACAAAAAACATGGTTTGAATAGATTTTATGCAAAAAAAAAAAAAAAAAGCTTTTCTGTAAAGCAAAGCAATAGAGTTACTTTTCTCTAGTGCAAATAATATTCCGTACATAAAGTAAATTACCTCACTTTATTTAGTAGATAATGACATCTCCATTTTTTTTCTTTAGTTTAAAAATAAAAATTAGGCGCAAATAAAACAATACGTTTAAACAGTCGGGAATACAAAATTAAAAAAAAAAGACAAGTTTTAAAAAATTCTACAAACTAAATTTACAAAATATGTATATATTTCTAGTTACAAGATAAAAAAAAATCTAATCAAGTTCTCACATCGCAAATCGTGTGTGCCTAAACGTTGAATTATAACGAGCTTATACTATCGTCGCTAAGCTGTATAGATTTTTGTAGAAAAATGCAATCATGAATTTGTATTTTATACATAAAAAATAATTATTAACAATGCATTATAAATCTTTCTTTTACATATGATAAAACTCTAACAAAAGTTTTTGTGACGTCAATTAACGTTGTCATAGGAATCTTTCTTTTTTGTTGTTAATTCTGCTTTTTAAAAAATGGAGGTAAATATAAATAGATAAATACTTTTTTTCAAAAATCCTTTTTAAATTATTACTTGCTTTTAGGTTTAGAGAAAACAGAAAACCATCCTTCTGTATGACCTGTCTCTATAAGTTGTTTCCAGTACTCGTTAGTAGGTAAGATTTTAAATAAACCAATCACTTGAGATTTTGTTAACAACTTTTTACACTTTAAAGTGATAACTAGACGCATATCTCCTAACATTTCATCTGGAACTTGAAAAAAGATTTCTTGATCAAAAATAGGATGGATGCTTCCTTTTTGAACGTCAGTCCGATTCTTTTCTAAAAGTTCATCTTGACCATTGAGGATAGATAATGAAACATACGTACCTAGATAATAAAAATAGCACATAAAGTTAATATTTATTATTAGAAATACGAAAATAATGAAAATTAAATGAAAATCATTATATACATTTATTATAGAGGACAATAAGAAAATAGAAGTTTAAATGTTGCATGTTTGCGTATCTCCAATCAGAAAAAACTAATATTAAAAGTTTAAAAAGAACATTTATGTAACCATAAGACTTAATTAACGTAAGCCAATTAACATCAAACCATTCTTGTAATAAAAGTTATATAAGAAAAATTTTAAAAAATAATCATGAACTATATAACTATATATAAAAATAATCATAAACTATTTTATACTAACTGGCTTTTTCTTGATCTAGCTTCATAGGAACTATGTCCCCACGTTTGACTGTTACTTTAAGTTTCCACTCTTCTCTGTCGTAATCAATCCCTAAAAACACTGCTCCAGTTTCTACTTCCTTGAAAAAAAAGATAAATTATATTAAAAACAAACAAGGCACAATAAATTTAATTTAAAGCAAGTGACTTTATTATCGAAATTAACACGATAAAAACTATGTATCACAGAGATAAAAACTATGTATCACAGAGATAAAAACTATGCACCACAGAGGCACAACCAGTAAGAATATTTTAAAAGCAAATTTACCATTGAAAACCATGTTTTTTATATATCACTCAAAGTTAGTGTTAGCTTCTTAACAGAATAAATTTGCCTCCTGTAACTAATATTTGCCTCTGGCTGATCCTCTGTGTATGCATACTAACTTACTAAACCAATAAGTGGATCAAATTGTCGCAATTTTCGTGAAAACTGTTCTTCACCCTTTTCTTTAGTAAAATTTACACTTTTTAAATCAAATGTACAAATTCCAACGCCGTCGTGTTTTGACCATCTGTTCAGTTCGTATTGATAAAAATACAAAACTTGAGAACTTAACTCTTCTTTTTTAATTATAAACGTAAACAAGTCTCCAAACGCAGGCCAAAATGTTGCACGAACTAATCGTGTTTTGTATTCAGTCTCTTCGTTCTCATGAAACGGCATTAACTTAATAACAACAAAAGCATAAGCGTAACCACTTATATCACGAACAGGTACATTGCTAGTTTCTATTACCTTTACTGTCAGCATTTCACTTAAACATATAAAAACATTAACTTATATTAAAAGAATAAAATTTCTTACAATAACTTACAGATTATATATTATTAAATAAAGAAAAAAAAAAAGGAAGCGAAAAAGTCAAAAAAAAAAAAAAAAAGATATGATTTTTTAAAAAAACAAACAAACTAAACCAGTAAATAAAAACATGTGCAAAAAATCAAGCAAAATGATTAACATTATATAACTATTGATAAAAATCCACAACAGTGCATATGTGTTCTTTTATGCACTTTAATTTAAACTACTAATTTTCACATTTCAAACAAAGTTAAAGTTAATTTTAGTTCTTTGCTTTTGATCAACATAAAAAAAAGAACAAACACAATAAGCACATTTGAAACCTTGATTTACTTATGAAAAATGTATGATAAAAAATTTAATACTAATAAACTAAGAACCAAAAAATTACTATCTTCCGAAACAAAAGTTTAATATTAAAAAGCCATTATACTATGCTACAATCTTGATGTAAATTTATATCAAAAATCTATCAGTTATTTATATCAAAAATCTATCAGTTACAGTTATATATATATAATTTTTATTATCTATCAGTAATAGTCTTTTTAACAGAAGTCTGCAAATAGAAACTGGTCAGCCAAGAACCAAGAGGCCATATGTCTACATTTTGTGTTTTTTCTGTTTATTATTAATAAATATTCAACAATCAATGGGGTATGTGTCCAATAATTCTAGTCTCAAGAGAGATACAACTTATTATTAATTTTAATTAGCAATAAGCAATAAGAATATAGAAGGAACATTCTACTAAAGTACCAAAAAAAATCATTATCAATAACATAAGAAATAAGACCGATAGAGGTAAATAATACAATAGAAATAAGATGGATAATGATAAACTTGTTGCTAATGTGATTATTGACAACTCTAAAGCATTTGACACAATTGGACACACAGTTCTCCATCAGAAAAATACATTTTTATCAAATTAAAAGAATGAATGCTTCTAAAGTTTTCGTTTCAGAGAAAACAATTAGTTAATGAACGGCAAATCATCATCAAGGATCAGGTGAAGTGCTACAGGGATTGTTACGCTATTATTTTTAACATCACACAAAAATATTTTGAATGTTCATTGGCGAAAAGTGATTTCCTCCAGACGCAATTGGGAAAGCTTATATCACTCTCCTGTATCCCTTTGATAAGAAGACCTTATCCCCTTTTATCTTTATTTTATAAATTTTAACTACTAATATAACTTACCTGATAACATGTTTATTAAGATAGCATTAACAGCTAAGTTTTGTTTATTTAATGGAGGGATTTTTACTTGAATTATCCTTACTGTATGATTATATAAAAAAAGTAGTTTATTTCTACAATGGCAAAGTTAATATTAAACCTTTTGAAAAACAACCTCTGGTTTTTAATTTTCAATCTGTTACTTGTAACCTTTTGTTGAAGATAACATTGTTTTTAGTATCATTAGAATATGAGATTTGGAAACCAACAAATATTACCTTTGCATAGCCAGTGAAAGATAGTGTTGGTTAAATAATGATGCATGAATTTTACAAGGGAATCTTCACTAACTATTTTTTTAGAACTTCTTATAGAAAACTGACCCACAAAAGCATATTATAATTGCAGATATATTACTTTCCTGCTATGTATGGCTCTGGCTCCAAGTTTTTTCAAACTTATGGCTCTAATATAAATTATTGCTATAATATTTTTAAACACTTATAACTTTATAATCTATGGCTATAATATTTTTAAACACAGCTCTCAAATTTTTTTGCTTTGGCTGGGGCTCTGACAATAAAAATAAATGTAAAAAGAATAAACACATCATTTTTTTTTCAGTGGTTGTAATAATATATCTTTAATTGTGTTTGTATTTTGTTGGCAACATATAACAATTTCAAAAAAATGTTTTAGTTTTCCCATTTAACTTAAAAAATAAGTTTTAAAAATGACAAAAGAAGAAGACGTAAGAAAAAATATTTTGCACAAATATTTGGAAAATCAACAATTCAACAGCAGAAAAGTTGCAAATAAATCTCTACACTGTTGGTCATGTTATTTAATGTTTTTCCTAAACAAAATTGATTTAATGCAAATCTGATAATGGTGGAAATGAGGTTTTTCAAGATATAAAACTGATTAGAAAACTGGTTCACAGTTTTACGAATAATCCAAGCTTCTCACTAAGGAACACTCAAAGAGAGAAGAATTATATCATAGTTTGGTTTTAAAAGTTTGAAACAAACTTATTTTTTGATCATTTTTCAAACTTTCAAATCACAAAAGTGCTTAACCGTCCTGAAATTCAAAATAAAATTGCAAGAAACCGCTGAAGAAAGTATTATGACAAGTATATTTCTAAAAATTTCTAAATTATTGAAGATAATAAAACTTATATGAACTACAATCATCAGCAAATTCCTGGTGCTGCCTAATGCACAAATATAGAGGAAAAGCAGATAAGAAACTTAAATACACAAAACATGATAAGTTAGCTAAAAATATGACAAAAAGGTATGACAAAAAATTAGCGCCCTACATTTCTGATTCCACACTTTCTAAATACATGTTAAAGAGTGTTTAAAAAAGTGTCATTTACTGAAAATACTATTACCAGTTTAATGAGCTGCTCCCAGAAACCACATAAACATAGAATGGATGAAAGGTCATTTCAGAAATATTCTACAGAATTTATGAAATTGAAAATTTAAACTGAAGGAAGGCAAGGAGTAAGCAGATTTTTAATGGCTCCAGCTCTAATATTAAAGCCTATCCAGTCAGGCATAATTTTATATATTTTGTTGTCATTTTATCGCAAAGCACCTGGGATGTCTTGATGGACCTCAGAATTTTATAATATTAAGTAGCAAAGAGTTATTTTTGTATGTACCTAAAAGAACTTTGATAATAGTTATAAAAAATAGTTATAAATAGCCATTATTTTGTGCTGCTATAAACTGTGGAATTAAGTGTGAAAAAAACTGTAAAGCTATTTAATTTTTTCGTTTTCTTAAAAACAAAAAAAAGCAAGTTAATACATAAATTATTTATAATAACTTTTTTTTTCATAAAATTATTATTGTAGTATTTTAAAATATATTCTTTTAATGTTTAATTTTTAGATGTAAACAGTAACTATTTTTAACATCCCAAATCCTTCTCCACTTCTTGGTTGCAAAAGGAAACCACCAGTTAAACACCATTCAGTTCCAGCAAAAAAGCAAGTTGTTTGTTTACCTGTTAATTCAGATAGTAATTAAGAGAACAAAATGTCTACTAATAAAATAAATTTCAACAAACTTCAAAGATTACTATTAACATATTTTAAATTTATCCAGAAATACTTATCACCTATACAATTTAGTTTTTCAAAAGTCAATTAGAAATGAGTAAACAAGTCAATAAAGAAAAACGCTGGACAGTTTGTGACAAAGTTTTGGCTTTGCGAATTCTGTTTCATAGTCCTCAAACTTTTAATGTCTTGCGAACAATATTCTGTTTACCAAGTCAAACCTGTTTATTATTATTTTTGTCCATGTATTTTCAGATCTTCAAGATGGGTTTTCTACTCGATTGTTTTCTTTATTAAAGTTACGTGCTGATGCAATAAATCTGCTTGATCGTAATGTCAGTTTTGTTATCGATGAAATGTCATTAAAGCAGCATTTAGAGTATGATAGAAATTCTAACAGGGTTTACAGTATGAAAAATAGAAAACTTTTAAATCAGGTTCTTGTAATTATGGTTAGAGGCTTGGCAAATAAACGGAAACAACCAATAGCTTATTTTTATAATAATTCAACAGTAGCAACAGCTGACTTGGCTTCTTTCCTACGTGAAACCATTTCTAAGGTTCAAGAAACTGGTTAACACATTAAATGTGTAGTTTGTGATCAAGGATCTACTAATATAGCTCCCTTACGTTTGTTTGGGCTTTCTAAAAATTTACCATACTTTCCTAATTCTTCCAACGGTAAAAATATTCATGTTATTTTTGATCCTCCGCATTTTGTAACAAGTATCAGAAACAATTTACGAAGACATAACATTGACATTAATGGTGAAATAGTTTCTCGGCAACACATCCAGTCTCTGTACAATTTAGACAAAATTAACTCTGTGTGTCTAGAACTAAAACTAACAGATAAACACTTAGACCCTGGTCCTCTTTTATCTATGAAAGTCAAACTTGCCACTCAAGTTTTTAGCTATCAGGTTACTTCCGCATTGTATTGCTGTTCTAATACAAATTTACTTCCTTTAACTGTATTACCAACAGCAAGATTTGTGGAAAGCATGGATACTTTATTTGATATATTGAATGCATATAAATTATATGCAGATAAACCAGCTCGTTGTGCTCTAACCTTAGTTAGAGCACAACGAGTATTTCTCAGTTGAAAGTTCTCACTAAATTCTCACAATGAGTATTTCTCAGTTGAAAGAATTAAAGCATTGGATTGAGAAATGGAAGTTTTTTAATGTTTTTAAGTCAAGCAAGTATATCATGTCATTGGGGTTTAAGTGTCACAATTATTAGTGTTCTAACCTTAAGTAGAGAGCTATTTTCTGAAGGTTTTCAGTTTGTTTGTACTTCTCATTTTAATCAGGACTGCATTGAGAAATTTTATTATTATTCAAAGGTTGGAATGAGCGTCCAAATGTTAGACAATTTCGAACTGCCTATAGAAACGCCTTATTACTTTTATCTGTAGAAAAATGAAAACCTAATAGCAACTGTATAAAGGATTCAAATTTTGAAACAGCTTTCAGGATCAAGCCCTTTTACACATGGCTGGATGGCTTATTCAAAAGGTTAAGTTATGTCATAGGTGTGCAGATGTACACTTTCTTAGTTCAGCTGACAATCCATCAGCTTTATGTCACTAGTTTGTGAAATGGAAACAACTTTTATGAAATTTATTGATAAATATCTTGAAAGAGATGGACTGGCCATGATTCTCATCAATAAAATTATATAAAAAAATGTCATTTTCAGTTTTTGCACAACTAACATGAAGAACATGTGCTTTATTTGGAAAAAAAATATTTTTTTGTTTTTTATTACAAAAATTTTTTATTTTATAAAATTTTTAAACAGGATTATAAACCCACCCAATAAGTCTAATTGCAATTTCAAAAATATAGTATTGCCCTTTGATATATTATGATATTATTTTTTCAATTTAATTCTTTGTAATGTGACTTTGTTATAATGTATAATATTAATAACTTTTGTTATTAATATTATACATTATAACATAACAGGTCTGACAGGACATTCCAGAATGCAATTTTGATTTCCCTTAAGTGGATAGGCTTTGTCCAATATCTCTGGCTACTTTCAAAAACATCCCACTCCCACAACTTCAGCACCAACTCTCTAAAAACGAATTGAAAACCTCCAATTTAGAGAAACCTTTAATTGTTTTTATGTTAGTAGTATCCTGTGGAATAAATTGATAGACTTTTTTTACCAAGAAATGTTACTTTTTTGATGAAATTTGGGAGTCTAGCATAGATACACCCTTTTAGTTTTAACTTCAAGCAAAATTAAAAAATCGTCTTTTTTTTATGTTATTCACCTCTCTAAGGTAAAGAGGGCCACAACAGCCCAGAAAGTTACTTTATTGCGGTTACAACCCTCTCTCAACTCTTTAATTCTAAAACATAAAGATTGAAGAGCAAGGCCACTCAACGAATACTACCAGATATGTGGCAGGGATTGAACTTTTTGGGCTGAGGGTGGTTTTTTCAAATTTAAATTCAGTGAATAATGATATTTAATTTCTGAAAAGTATTTATCTTAATACATGTTGATGTTTTGATAAATTTACAAAATACTTTATAATTGACAATTGCTGACTGAAATGATTAATGCAATAAAACCCTTCCACTTTTCCTTTTTTTTTTCCTTCAGTTTGCAGTTTTTAGTTCTTTTTGATTTGAAATTATCAACATATCTAGATCAACTTTTTACTGATTTTTAGAATTGAGGCCTTCAGTAACATCACTTTTCAGGTCTGTTGTATTAACTTTGAGAATTTTAACTTTACATTAACTATTTGAATGGTCAATGTAGTTTTTTTTTTGGAAGAAGGGGAAGGGGGGGGGGGGGGAGGACTTGCAAACGTGTTATGCAATTATTGCTCATGGCAAAAAGAGATTTTATCATTATCATTTGACGGTAAAATCCAGATTTACACAATTTAAACTTTTTAAAATAAACTGATATATCATCAATTTATTTATTTTATTTCAAATTTTATGACATTGATCATTTGATAAAATACCATTGTGCACAAGTCCTTTTTGATATATACAACTTTTTATGTGTTAGAAATAAACAAATAAAAATAGTAATTGTTAACATCAATTGTTTTAAAACAAAGGTTTAATGTAACAAATAAATATATGCTGAATATAAAATATAAATTTATGCTTAAAACAACATAATTTACATAAGTATAAACTCAGCATAACTTCATTTTATCAACATATAAGCAGTTCTGTGGCTAGTGGTTTGCCCCCTTCCCCTCAAAAAACAACAACAACCTGTCATTAGGGCCCTAATGTCTCAAAAAATATTCTACTAGGTATTACTGAAAAAAATCCTTAAATTTCAAAAACAGCCCCTAAATTTGTAAATGGGATCACTAATTTGCATCCCCCCCACCACTGGTGTGTGTGGAGTAGCCTAGCCACAGTTCTGAATATGAGTATATTTGATACAACATGTTTATGTTTGATACAATATAAGCATAATAAACTAAATAATACCTAACAATATCATATTGGAGTGAAAAGTTAATGGTTCCTAACTCCTCCTATAAAATATTGATAAAAACATACTGATAAGTTTTAGAAAGAAATAGACATTTCATTGTTTTGATCATGATGCATATCATAATCATCACACTTTTATTTTTTTATATATAATTTCACAAAATAAGTCAACTTTCTATTTTTGGTGTAAACATTAAAATTAAATTTATATCAATTTATATACTGTTATGGAAGTGAATTTTATGTACTGTCATGAAAGTGAACTTTATATACTATTAGGTAACTGAACCTTATATACTTTGATGTAAGTGAATTTTATATACTGCTATATAAGTGAACTTTATATACTATCATGTAAGTAAACTTTATATACTGTCATGTAAGTGAACTTTATATACTGTTAGGTAACTGAACTTTATATTCTGTTATGTAAGTGAACTTTATAAACTGTCATGTAAGTGAACGTTATATACTGTCATGTAAGTGAACTTTATATTCTATGTATTCTATGTGAAATTTATATTCACTTAAATGACAGTATATACATTTTAATTTATCATATCTAAAATAATTATACTAATTTTAGATATGATAAATTAATATTCATTTTTTCTTCTGTATTTCTATATTTAAAACAACAGATTTTCTTTTTTTTGTCATATATTCAGTAACAATAAGTTGTTTTTGAATTCTAACTAGTGAACTCTAGCAAGTGAATTCTAACTAGTGAACTCTAACAAGTGAACTTTAACAAAACTAAATTCTAACAAATGACTTTAAGGAAATAAAATTAATATCTAAGTAAAAGTTTTATATTCAAGAAAATTACTCAAAATTTTTTAAACAAAAACATAGTTACCATAGCTTTTCTTTCATTCTTGTTTGGTTGAATCCTCATTAATTTTTTCGAAGGTTTTAATCCTTTGAGCTTGATTTTTTCTTGGTTTTTGTTCTTTTTTCGCTTTCGACGGCATCTTTTACAACAAACACAAATAACAACTAAAAGAACTACAACACCAATCGAACCCAAAATAATACTGATCTTATTTTTTTCGAAGAAGGCTAAAATTAAATTTAATTTAGGCTAAAATAATTCAAAACCAACAACAACATTTTTAGTTTAAAACAAAACATATAAATCTAATCTTTAATAATTGTTTCAGTGAAAAAATGCATTAAAATATTTTCAATGTCTATTATTTATCTTTAAGAATTATTAAAATTTTGAATTTTAATCTGAAATATCAAAACAAATCAAAATTAATAATAAAAAAAAAAAGTAAAAAAAAAAAAAGCATTTTTTGTAATTTACATTACATACTACATCTCTTTATATTAATGCCAAACTTAATAGTTTTAGCTGTAGTAGTAGTTAAAACATATATGAAGTTTTACAGTGTTACTTTTACTTAAAAAGTATGAGAATATCTTCTTAATTTTGATTTTGAGCATCTACTTGCTGTCTCATAAAGTCTTTTCTTTATTAAATATTATTAAAACATTCTCTGCATAATAAAACGAAAAATAAAATGCAAAGTATCGTAGTTCAAATTCCGTCATTTGTAATTTTTTTTTTTTTCCAAATTTAAAAAAATTTTTAAAAATACAAAATAAAACAATTTTGAAGTTCTATATATATTATATACATATATATAACATATATCAAAATATTATATACTATAACAAAAGACAAGGAGAGAATTTTTAAAAAAGCTTAAAATTTCTCAAAACACCATGAGAAATTTGTTACGCATGTCATGATAAAAATACTTATGCTATTATGCTCAGATAATTAGTCCTAAAAGCTGTGTGGTCTGAAAAAAAAATTATGGTATGAAACTTAATAAAGAGTAAAATTAATAAACCCGTCCAGCTACTCCAAAAGGTACTGCTGTGGAAACAAAACAAAACAAAAAAGCCAGTAGCTAGCAAAAACTTTATTTTAACAATTAAAAGTCTATTATATATATATATTTTTTCTATAAATATTTTAGGCCAAATTGAAAAAAATTAAAAATGTATTGTGTTAAGGGGTGGATTAGAACCTTTGCAAAATGACACTGATGACAACTCATTGTGCGTATGTTAATTTTTGTTTGCACTTAAAACAGTTTTTTTTTAATGAATTGTTTTTTTATTATTGACTAAAAAATATTGAAATAAGGAATAAGTATAGAAATGATCATTGTGCAATAGATTAACTTCTCTGAACTTGGAAAAAACTGAACTAATATTTTTTTTATCTCTAAGACAAAAACTTTTATACAACAATCATATAACTAAAATTACAATTAATAATAGACGTTTATATCCAACATACGTTGTTAAATATCTTGGTGTTTTTATGGAACTTTATATAGATGCAATCCGTATAAAAGCACATTGTAAATGTAGTTAGACCTGCTTTATGTGCCTAGCTTGAACCACTTTCCCATTGTTGTAAGGTTGTATTTCTTTCTAATTTCTGCAAATACTATCATGGTCAATGTTCATTTTTACTTAGCTTTTTATTCAACAAGTTGCATCCTTTTACTGTATCTGTCCCTTTATGTTATAAAAACTTTTATTAATTTAGTTTTTTTTCCTTGCACATCAAAACGCCTTTTCACTCTTCCCCATTTTTTGTGTTTTCATTTTTAATACATCCTGCAACTTTTAAAGTCTTCAGTTAACCATTTTCTAGTATTTTAACCTGCCCTCTATTTTAAAGTAACTCATAACTTAATATTGGTTACTTTCAATCTTGTTGAAAGTAAAAAATTCAAGCTTAAAAATATATAAATATATGCCAGTATGTAATAAGTAGTAAATGTAAATATAAAATTATAATAAAAAAAGTATTATAAATCAACCCCTGCTAAATCTTATCATTATGCCAGGGCCAGGTTTGCAAAAAGTTTCATTTTTAGCTGGGGCCCCAGTTGCTTACTATTATCAGCTCAGCTCATCAATCCGAATAGTAAACTTTCAACCCCATAATACCGAAACTTCAAACTTCTTTAAAAACCTTAATACTCCTACCTTGTCAGCACTAGTTAGATTTGCTACTCTTCTTTTTGTTTCTGACTCCCTTAATAAAAATTTACCTTCCTCTATTACAACCTTCACTAAAACTCAATTTATACATTCACATTTAACTAGAAACATCAATAATGGAAACTAAATGTACCTCCCTATAAAACTTTGAGGTATGGTAAGCATTCAATTATACATCAGTGCGCATCAGTGGATGGAATCAAAGTCTTGTGTACAATGTGAATGAGTTTGAAAAATTAAAACTTAAAAATAATTTATCTTCATTTCTTTATTTAAAACAAAATAAATTTAAACAAATTCAAAAAAAAAAAATTAATTTAATTTTTTTATTACTATTAATTTCTTTTAGTTTTTCTTTTTCTTCTTACTATTTTTATAGAAACTTTGTTTTTGTCATTTTTTTTTTTTTTATTACTACTAATTTTATTATTACTATTATCATTATAATTGTAATAAAGAGTTTTTGCTGTTACTTTGCTTTACTTTTTAATGAGCAAAGTTATTATGGTTATTATTATTATTTTTTAAATTAATATCATTAATATAACTATTTGGTGTCACTCGTTTGATCAGGTTTTTGCATGAGTGACTTCTTCCTTGTCAATCATTTATTTATATTTATTCTTAAGAATGATATTTTGGTTTTATTATCTATAATATTACAGATTTTCTTCTTCTTCTTCTTCTTCTTCTTCTTCTTCTTCTTCTTCTTCTTCTTATTATTATTATTGTTATTATTATTATTATTGTTATTATTATTATTGTTATTACTATTATTAACATATTATTGTAATTAGATGATTGTAAATTTTGAGGAAAACAAAAATAAAAAAATAAAAAAAAAGATAAGTATAGAAATATTTGATTTGGTAAAGGCCCGTATTTTACTGGTCTGGACAGCTAGGATATATAAGAAAAAAGTATAGAAAAGGTCGATGTGGAATAGACTTACAAAGACCTGTATTTTTACGGGTTTTTATAAGTCTACTTGAGTCAGCTAGTTACTATGACCTAATAATAATAATAAGTTAGAAGTATCTTTTTATTTTATTTTTAATTTTGATCGTGTTAAGATTTCTTAAGAATATAAAAACAGTAAAAAACTTTAAATCAGAAAGTTTGGAGAAAGTAACTACAATTCATAATTAATTCCTGTTTAAAACATTTTGACTATTAAAATTGCTGACTAATTAAAAATGTTAGAACAAAGTTATATGACTTAATATTTACTTTCATATGACTTAAAATATGAAAATAAAAACAATACTCTAAACAAATTAATGTGATAGTATGATTGTGGTAAAGCTTATAATTGAGAAGTTCAAAGATCAAATCCAACATAGTGAAAGTGATCAAGTTGTTTGCAACACAAAAGAGCAAACTTTCATTTTGCAATGACTTTATCTAACAAGGATTAAATTTTAAAAAATTAAGTTAAAAAACAAAATTAACAATAAAAAAATTTAATAATGATATTTGTTAAAATTAGTGTTATTGTTTGTATTTCCTTTACTTGATGGTTTTGTTATGCTTGATTGATATGACATTTCTTAAAGTTTTCTTTTTTTCCATTGAGCAGTAAAACTGGATAACTTAATTATTGTCCTTATTTACTTTAGTGTTACTTTAGTTACCAGCAACAAATTAAATTATTCATATAGTTTAAAAAGCAATCATGGGACTTTCATATTTATGATTCCAATAGGTTTCTAAGCCGTAGCAAATATATTTTGTAGATAAACTGTTACTGTTGTTTATGATTGTTCTATAATCTCCATGCATTAACTCAACACTGAGTTTTACTGTTTTTAAACTTTAAAACAAATGGAGCTAGTTTAGTAATGAATAATCCATAAATTTAACAGCTTAACTTCAGTTCCTAATAAAGACAAGTATTGAATTAATAATATAAATAATAGAATCTTAAAATAATAAAAAATTTATCTGACAAACAATAGATTGTGTATGTAATCAATATTCTACAGCAATAGAAACTGAGAGTAGAGTCAGATTTTATCATTTCAAATTTAACATTTTAAAATTATGTTTTTCAGACTTGAGATCTTATTTGAAAGATAGGAACTAATTTGTAACTTAAAAAATTAATTTTAATTTTTTAGTTGATCAAAATTATTTTGCTTCTATATGAGGTTGCTATGTTAGATGTTTACTTAAATTCCTAAAACTTGTCTACCCTAGGATCTTCTGGAGACTTATGTTTTATAAATTTTATAAATGTTTGCTGTTTTTTTTTTTGTTTTAAATTATTTTTTGCTTTTAGTGTGTTGCACAATGCTGCACCTAATTAATACTTTTAATCTCTTTGTAAGAAAGTTCAAAAGCCTGGTACCTGAGTTGTATCAATTATTTATTTCCTTTCATTATTCATATTCATTTTCTTTTTCTTTTTGAATATTCTCATAGATTTATGTCAGATTATACATTATTATCTACTTTTACCATCAAACCTTGTTAAGATGCTTTTATGTTTAATTTTTTTGAAACAGTATCATTGTTTTTTGCCTGTTAGCTTTATTATTATTGCAGTTTTTTGTTTGTTTGTTAAGCATTTTTTTTAAATATCACTCCATAAAATTTTAAATAGGTAAAACCATTTTTTAAATAATGTTATACTTTAAATAACTTTTGTCCATTTTTTTGTTATGTAAAGTTGGTTTGAAGTGTATCCTTAGTATACAAGAGAGATAATTAGTGATATCACAGTTACAATAGGTCAGAGCATAAAAACTAAAGTCCTAAACCACAATAACACTTTGTTGTACTGTAATACTAAATAAATTAATCACTTTGTTTATGGGTCAAGACAATTTAGTCATATTAATAATAAAATTGTTGAGCAAATTTAAGATTGGTTTTTTTAAGTAGTTTTGGCCACAAATAAGGCCCAACTATATACTTAATTTTTTTTTACTTAAAAATAACACTCTTTCTATACAATATATATATATATATATATATATATATATATATATATATATATATATATATATATATATATATATATATATATATATATATATATATATATATTCTAATAAATCAGACAACTTTTTAAATTTTTATTAAAATCATTTATTTTATAAAACATGTTTCGACTATATCATAGCCATTGTCAGTTAAAATTTATTAAAATGCTTAAATCAAATTATAAAAATTAAGTTAAACTAATAAACTTACAATAAAAATACAATTAAAAAAAATGTAACAAATGTTTTAAAAAAGATAAAAGAACCGGTAATGTTAAAAGGAACTTGATTGAAATTGTCATTTTTATATGGTTCACTTGTTTATTAATAGTGGGTTTTTCCCACTCAATCTACATGCTTTCTTTGAGTTTTAATATAAATTTGCAGGAGGCCAAATCCAAAATTGAAAAACTAGCATGATTAAAACTATTCAAGCACCAAAAAAGGGATAAAATCTCAACTATTTATAAACATATTCATTCAAATGAAAGCTATTTTTTACACATTTTGTGCTGAAAAGAAACTTTGGATACATATGTATATATATATGTATATATATATATATATATATATATATATATATATATATATATATATATATATATATATATATATATATATATATATATATATATATATATATATATATATATATATGTATATAAACTTAATATTATATATATATATTCCCTTTTTGCTCTTAACCATCGATATATATATATATATATATATATATATATATATATATATATATATATATATATATATATATATATATATATTATATATATATATTCAACATCTAACAATATATATATATATATATATATATATATATATATATATATATATATATATATATATATATATATTGTTAGATGTCGAAATTTAATATTATATATAAAATAACAATATACTTTTCTTGTCTCAAAAGAGATGTCGAAAAACTACAATAAAATATTATGAATTATTCACTCAACTAATATAATATATACAATTATAAATAATTTAAAATTATAATTAACTCTTTTTTTTTTTTTTAATAAAAATTTAAAAATTTATTATTTTTATTAGAGCTTATTAGATTTTTAAAAATAATTCTTATTAATAGAGTTCACTCTGGTGTAGCATTGATTGATTTAAAAAATTTCAAAAAAAAATGAGTTTAAATAAAGGTAGTTGGGTAGTTAGGTCAAAGTATAATTTCATGAAAATATAAAGCTGGGTAAAAAAAATAATAATATATTATTATTAATAATAATACTACAAAAGTAAATGTATCAAATATTACATTTATTCACTTTTTTATATTTAATCACTTTTTTTAGCGTTTCGTATTGGTTGCGTATAGTAGTTGTAAATTGTAGAATATTTCAATGTTAAAATTATAAAATAAAGAAACTGAAATCATTTTTACTAACCTTTTACAGCGTTTACCGGTTCATTCCAGTCAATACTGACTAACCCCATCAAAATTTGTATTATAATAGAACTTAAGCGTGTTTTTTATTCCTTGCAGTTAATTTTTTTTTTTTTTGCTTATTATATACATATCAAAAAAAAATTTGTATACGCCTCTAAATGAATACCTCCAAATTAATACAATTTTAATTTAATTCACAAAGCGATATGGGAAATTAACTTGAGCAAAGAATCAACCATTAAATATTCATATTTTATTTGAGATACAATTTATAGATTTCGCAATATTATTGAAATAGTTTAGTTTTATAAAAAAAACTAAAGTTTTATTTTAAGTTATTAAAATAACATTTTACTTCTTACATTTTTAAATAAGGTTACCATAAAAAAATTTAGCTATATGATTATTATATTGTATAATATTATATAAAATTTATTAATTTTATTTAATATTATACAATATAATAATCATATAGCTAATTTATTAATTTTGTGAATATATTTAATTTATTAATAATTATTAATTTATATTAAAATACGGATAACTCGAAAAAATTGCCGATCACTATAACAGCGCTTTTTCAATAACATTTAAACACGAAAAAACTCATATTTTCAAACATTGATACTATCTAACTAAGGGCAATATCGTATGGGCAAGCAACAGCTACGCTAAGTTAAAGAAAATTTATACTAAACAAAAACATGCATGTAGAATTGTATTTGGAGTAAAAAGATCTGTGCCTTGTGAGCCACTTTTACGTAAACTCAATGCATTAAATGTGTTTAAAATTAACATATTCCTCGTCATACAGTTCATGTATCAAATAAAACATGGACTGTCTCCAGAGATATTCTATCCTTATTTTAGAGAAGTAAGCCATAAATACCCCACCAAGTTCTCAGAAAATCACTTTGTATCTCAAAAGTATAATCTAAAGTTATGTTCTTATTCTATTCAGTACAGGGGTCTAATTTTGTGGAAAAACTTTCAGCATATTGTTAATATTAAAGAAAAAACACTTCCGCAATTCAAATCTAAATTAAGACGTTATTTAGTACTTACGGATTTTAATATAGCATATCTTCAATGTCACTTTTAAAGCTTTAAAATTTATTAAACTAAATTAGCACCATAAATTTAAAAATCTAGACCATTTAACAATACTAAGAATTTCAATGTCTTTATCATACTTTCATTGAATATATATATTCTCTTAAAGTTACCTACAATTTTCTTGATATATTTTATAATATTGGAACAGAATTTTTATTTGAATTTTGAATTATTTTGAAAGAAAATAATATATACAAATATATATGTCGAATCACATCCAATTTATAACCAAAAACAGAAAATTTTTGTCATTTTTATTACTATATTTTAATCATTTATTTTTATTTTTTTTATTTTTCTTCAATTATTTTAATACTTTTTTTTTTTTCTTCTTTTTAACTTTGTTTCTTAACATTTTAAATTGTCTTTTTTTAAATACTTTTGCTTATATATTACGGATTATTGTATATTACGGATAGTTATTTGCGTTACTATTGGGGCTCGGTGAAATAAGGCTATTTTATGCTTTCTTCATGCTCCAGCCAATTGTACTTTTTATATTGTTGTACTTTGTAAATATTTTTAACGGCGAAATAACTATTAACTAATAATAAATTAATATTTGAAAAATTATAAATTGCTGAAAAAACTTTCTTGTCGGGCTTTTTAAGTCTAGAAGTCACCACTATATTGTAAAACAACGTTTTAAAATTATCCCGCGAGAACTGAACGACAAATTATTACGTCACCCGCAGATAATCGAAGTAAACCCGAGACTGGCCTTAAACAACCTGAGTAGGTAGCCGCTAAGGGGTTATGGCATTTAGAGAGGCAAGCCGGAAAGGAATAAATTTATTTTTAGTTTAACTTTACAAATTTCACTTTTAAACTGTAAACGGAAAAAAGATCAGCTAGGTACGGCTGTTTTAATTTGAAGCACAAATATAAAAAGATTTAACAAAGTAAATACAATAATTCAAGCAGTTGAAGTTGTTTTAAAGTGGAATGAGCTGTATAGCTTTCTTTCTTTTTTCGTTCGAACATGTTTAATCAATTTTCGTCAAATTTGAAAAGAACTTATGCTATTGGTGAGCACCAACAAATATTTTGCTGCTGTGATGGATCCAAGATTCTTTAATCATCTAAGTCATCCCCCTGGATACGTCACTGCTTTGCTGAGCTTACAAACGCCAATATGACAAATTAATATCTTAATACTTAACAAATATTATTAAAATACTTAACAATTATTGTAATAATTGTTAAGTATTTTTACACGTTTTTTTTTTGAGGGGGAGGGGGATTTTGTCCCGGTCGGTAGTCCGATATTTATGGCAGCCCTAAAGTACATGGCTTTTTATACTTAATTTATTGGAAATGAAATCTAACATTTATTTTGTTTTAATATACGTTCGTAAACAATTTATGTTTAAAACGGGTTTTTTTCATAATATTTTTAGAGAACACGGGTAATCTGATTTTGTAATGTAGTTTTTTTAAATATTAGTATGCTGTAAAGATAAAGCATACAAGATAAAAGAGAGAAAAGTGATCGCTTTTTTTTTTTTTATATAGTACATTAAAGTTTCTATTTCTTGAGTGTCATATCTATTTCTATTGCATTTGAAAAACTCTTTTAAAAAATGCAATGGAACAAGTCCTAGTTTATAATTTAGCATGAACAACAAATTTCGATAAATAGAATTTTATAAACGCTTAGTTCATTAAGAAGTAAACTTTTTTAAATTATTCGAAAAAAATAATACCTGTGTAAAAGTTTTTTTTATAGCTTAAAATTTTTTAGTAAAGGTTGATATTGTGGTTAAAATTTTTTAGGTTTTCCAGTAAAAAATAATTATTTATTTTAAAATTTTAAGTTTTCAATTTTAATTGTATTAAGACAATTAATCACCACTGAATACTGTTATAGAATATCGTATTCGCCTAGAATATCATACCTCCCCAGTTGCATCTGATATAAAGTTTAGTATTTTATAACACATATAATCAAATTTTATTTTAGAATATCATATCCCTGTATAACAGTCGTATCCGATATAGACATTTTTTAACAATTTTTTTAAGCAACAATTTAAACAATGAACAAATAAAGAAAATCAAAAATGTTCGCGGAGAAAATGTGTGTTCGTGAAGAAACAGAAAATTGAAGCAATGTAGTCAATATAAAAATATGTGCATGTGAAAAAAGCTAAAAGATATAATATAATATGCTTTTGGAAATTTTTAAGTTGCTGTTTATTATTATTATTATTATTTTTTTTCTAAATGATTGTTATTTCAATTTGTAATTTTTAAAAATTTTACTTAACGTAAAGCAAGATATTTTCAGATTGGTCTAAAATACTCCGTTAAATAACTTTAGCGTTTGCAATAGTTTCATACATCAAGAAAATGAAATAAATTTAATACTTTAGTCTATTATTACTCCTGTATATTATATTATACATTGCTAAATTACACACTATTTATACTTCTTTTCAACGATTTTATCATGTAAACCCCCTGAAAAATGATACAGGCGATGTTTTTTGAAGATTTTTTCAAAATTTCATAAAGTTTGTGTTATCTACTAACAAAAATTCATTATTTGGACTATTTAATTCATTACTCAGAAATAAATTTGTAAAAATATTGATAAAAAATTTTTATCCTGAAAAACTACCTTTAGGTAACAATTTTTAGATCATAATGGTTGCTGAAGATTCATATTTACTAAGATACCCCTAAATTTTATATGAAAATAGTTTTGCGTATCCCTTTTTGTCAGTTAATGTCTCCTTTGCCTCAAATTCAAGTTGATTTATGTACATTCATTAATTTTTAATTTTATGTATTATGATTTGATTAGTTTTCAAAATCCACGTTGGGTTTCATAAAAAATATTTAAAAATCGGCTGCTTGTTGTGAATAATGAAGTAATTTATGTAATTTTATTACAAAAAATAGTTTCAATGTTTAAATTAATACTTTATTGGAATTCAAACTCTAAAAATATCAAAACTCTTTAGAAAACCTTTTTTTTTTGTTGCTGTGAAATATCTTGATGTACAAAAAAGAGTCCAAATTAATTTTCAAAATGTTTTTTTTGCAACCTTTTTTATATTCATAAAAAATACTTATGGTAATATAAATGTATAATAACTATATAAATATATATTTTTTATTATAGTACACGATTATATGTAAGTACAAAAAAAAAGTGAGCATAATCTCCAGCTAAATCATAATCTCCACCTAAAGCAAGAAGATCAGGAACAACGTAGTTAGACTGCGGTTCAGGGAGGGCGGATACCAAAGCTGTATCAGCATTTACACCTAATTCATTATCAAAGACAATTGCATCAGCAAGATTGGTTTCATTGCCGGGTTGACTAGCATTGATTAATGCTTGATTGATAGCATCGGTTTTAGTGGGGCTGCAAAGCTATTTGCTGCAGAGGGCGGCAAATAATACGGGTTCTTAATTGTATCATTTCGCATGTCGTATTTAAATAATTGCAAATAATGCATATATTTTGTAAATATAAAAAAAAAAGAAAAAAAAGAAGAAAAATAAATTGATATTGGTTATTTGTTGGTTATTGTAAAATATATATTTTTATTTTCAATTACTTACTTGACATTTTGAAGAAACCTTTTCAAAGTTGTTAAATATTATAATTTGCTAAATAGAACAGTTCTGTTATGTTTTATTTGTAAAATTTTAAATGAAAGCCAGTTGGTTTTGTAAAGGATTATCTAAGACATTTTTTGTATTAATATGAGCTTAAATTCCTATAATGAAAAATAATTACTTGCTGATTTTAAAAACTTTATTATTATTATTAACAGCGTCATTTTAATAACACTCATGTTACGTCATATAATGTCACTATTGGTCGGCAAAATACTATATTCTTAACTAAATATATATTCAAATAAAAATATTATTGCGTTACATGTGTTATGGATGTAAACAACTCTATATAGAGGTGGGTTAAAAAACATATTGTTGAGTTACTTGTAAAATGTAAATATTACAAAAAAATCGTTCAGATATTAATTCAGGATTTAAATTTCCTTGTTTTAGACTTTTGAA